TGTATGTGTTATGATATAACTAACGAGGTCATATTCAGAAGACAATGAAACCGAAACCAAATAGCGTTGAAACAGGAAGTGAAGTAAACAGAAGAGAGTGACAAAATAACAGTCCACATAACAGAACATAAACCTAACAATAAGATCGTTAGGCTATCGTTAGCCTATATGTATAACAGTTAGCCTAGTTGTAATCTGATTTTCTAATCTGACTGGGCAAGAGACTTTCTATTGATATTAACACCTGCGCTCGTTCTAGACGGGCTGTCAGTCAGTGCAGTTACAGTGTTGCGCCACAAGGTGGTGGAAAGGGATTGTCATTCAACTTCACGTTCAAAAACGCTGATTCATTCATTCAAAGAGACGTAATGAAACACGCTGTTGAAATCATTTTAACTTTGAGCGCCCCTTTAGAAGGCTCTGCTGACCAGCTATGTGTCGGTGCCAAGACAGAGATTTCGCTTTCCTTGGATATGACAACATATTTTCACAAATATATATGACTCGGCCTGGAGGACAGACGCAAGTAATCAGCTGTATAGGCTTGTTAAGTGCAAATCTACGGAGCCTCTGTACAAATCAGCATGGTACACATTATGTTATCATTACTAACTTGTTTAATATTCAGTCCACATGCATGAAGTGTAAATCGAGAAGGGCATAACCTTACGGAAAAATAAAACACGGAAAAATCGCGGTTGCTGCGGTTCTTGCATTCCTTTGCGGTTTGCTCGTCAATAGCGCGGTATTGCGATATTGCGGTTATCGTGACAGCCCTAGTCAGAACCTTCAGAGGTACATTCATATAATTAATTAATTCATATATTCATTTGTATATATGAACTATGAGCAACTACTCTGCTGCTGTGCGCACGTGAGACTGTTACTTAAAACTGTGCTTTATGCTGGACAGAATTTATTTATCGTAAGTTGTTCAAATCGCGGTAATCTAATACGGTTTTAATGATAACGATGAAACGGTAATACTAACCGTGGGGAATTTTATCATGATTTATCGTCAAACCGGTAATCGTTACATACCTAATCCCTAATATATAGCGTCAAGCTGTTCCATAGTTTAGGGGCAGCGATTGCAAAAGCGCCATCCCCTCTAGATTTCATCTTCAACCGAGGTACAACTAGAAGTTTCTGTGACTGAGATCGTAAAGATCTAGTTGGCTTTTGCTCCTGAATTAGATCCGCAATATACAATGGAGCTATACCATGTTGAGATTTAAAAACAAGTAATAGGATTTTTAAATTAATCCTAAAAGAAACAGGCAACCAATGCAACGATCTTAACACCGGGGTGATATGATCTAATTTACAAGTGCCTGTGAGCATTCTTGCAGCCGCAATTTGGACCATCTGCAATCTATCTAAAATTTTATTTGGCGCACCATAATATAACGAGTTGCAGTAATCTAGTCTCGAAAAGATAAACACATAAATAACCTTTTCCAAATCTTTCTGGGATAAAAAGGCTTAATCTTAGAGATCAACCTCAATTTGAAAAAGCTCATTCTGACGATTTCATTTATCTGTTTGTCAAATTTTAGCGCGCTATCGCAAATCACACCCAGATTTTTTACCTGATGTTTCCTAAAGAGGCTCAAAGGACCCAGCTTAATTGCAACTGTCACCAGGTTCAGAAGGACCAAAGATAATCAATTCCGTTTTCGAGTCATTTAGGCTCAAAAAATTTGCAGACAACCATGCTTTGACTTCATTAAAACTGGTCAACAATTTTTCCAAGGCGGTGGAGTCGTTTGGCTTGAATGGTACATACAATTGCGTATTGTCTGCGTAGCAATGAAATGACACACTGTATTTATTCCAAATCAGACCTAGCGGGAGCTTATAAAGAGAAAAGGAAAGTGGTGCTAAAACAGAACCTTGCTCAGTGCCACATGATAAAGGTGCTGAAGCTGATGTACACTCACCCATACGAACTGCAAAACTTCTATTTAAAAGGTACGACTTAATCCAATTTAAGGCATTTCCAGAGATGCGGGCAGATGTTTCAAGACGGGAGATAAGAATATGGTGGTCAATTGTATCAAATGCTGCAGTAAGATCTAAAAGCAAAAGTATCGTCACATTACCAGAATCTGTTGCCAAAAAAATTTATTTGAAAACTTTCAATAACACTGTTTCTGTACTATGGTGCTTTTTAAAAACCTGATTGAAATACTTAACATATATCATTTTCATCAAGAAATGACTCCAGTTAAGTAAAA